GGACCAATTGTCAAAATTTTGGTGTCGATCATTCGATTTCATCCTGGACACTACAGAAAATGGGCTAAAAGTGTTAAAAAACGGAATTTTCCTTTAAGCCTCTGTGGCAGAAAATGAGTAACTGTCAGACTCAAGAGGAAGATTTCACTCTAAACAGCTCACAACACCTGTTTGATCCATACTATTCCCAAAAAAAAGTAGTCCCTAATTAAAAACATAAGACATAGCTGGATTTTGTATGGAGCCAATCACGGAACATTAAAGGATGAAAATAAAAATCCCTCTAGCCACAAGTCTGAGATTTGCACTTCACAATGGCGCACATTCTCTGGTGGCTGTTAATTTTCTGTTTTGTTTTTTTCCGAAATCATACATGATATTTATGTTAAATCATTGTGTTTTTCTTTTTTATTTAATTGCATGTTTTTTTTTTATTTAAATCTAATCATTACATAAACAGGTTTTTAAACACATTACTGCAGTTTCAGTAACACTGCACAATACACACAAAAAAGTGTAAAAAAAAAAAAAAAAAGTGTACACACAAAAAAGTAGCACTCTATGTGCAGGTGTACCTTTATATAAAAATAAGATTACATCTTAGTTCGAATTGGAAGTATATTTCTCTGTTTTTGAAAGTGAAAAAATCAGAGAGAGAATCAGACTTACCTATGGTAAGGACTCAGTCGATGCAATATGATTTGCTTGTCATAAAAGGAACTATCTTCTTGAGTAAAGATAGCACTGGTGATGTTGAGCTGGACAGGATCTCTCAGATACACGGCGTAGCTCACTATTTCTCCGTTAGGTCGAGCTGGAGTCTGCCACTCTACTCTAACCTGGTGACAAAAAGAGAGAAAATAAGAGCTTACTAACTTCTCAATAACAACTTCTAGAGCTCTTGACTCAGGTCTGTTTAGAAAGATCAACTGACCCGGGTTGCCTCCAGTGATGTTAGCGTTGGGAGAGCCACACCAGATGGGACTGATGGATGAGTTTTTGCTGTGGCTACCTCACTGCTTACAGCACCTCTGCTGTTGTTGGCCCTGACAACATAGCGGTACTCTATGCTTGGCAGGAGAGTGAAGTCGTGATAGTGGGTGTCTGTGCCAACGTAGATAACTTCACCATCTCTGCAGAGCTCATACCCAGTGATGATCCCATTAGGATGATCGGGGGGTCTCCAGGTGATCTCAACGGACTCTGGTCCCGTAACCTTTTGTTAAATAGTTAAAGGAAAACACATTAAACAAGGTAGAGACTTCAGTGTGTAAACAAACTACTTGTTGGTGACATTAAGTGAACTTAGATAGTTGTTTATGTTGTACAAAAAGCAAACCTACTGACCGCTATGCTTGTTTTACTGATTTTGATTTTTAATGTTACTGCTAAGGTTTTAAAAACTGAAACTGTATTTTATTTACCACAAACTGAAAAAACTGTTTTAACGCCACATTAGAGATAAAAACCACCTTAAGAGTTGGGACTGCCAGATGTGTTGGGGGAGCTTCCTTAGTAACAACGGTTGTCGTATTGCTGGTAGTGCAGCCACCTCTGGTACAAGCCAACAGAACCAGCTGATAGGACGTATGCGGCTGCAGATTTGACAGCACTGTACTAAAGTCTCTCCCACGATAGGCCTCTTTGTTGTTCATTTTCAGGATATATTCTGTCACCTCTCCGTTGTGCATCAGCGGTTTACTCCATGAAATGTTTATAAGATCAGAAGTTATGGCATCCATTGTGGGGGGATCTACCATCTCAGGTGGGGCCTCTAGCGTTGTGATGTTAGTCCAGGGGCTGGTTGTACATCCCTCAGAAGTGCAGGCTGTCACTGAATAGCTATTAGGAAATAAAAGAAATGAATCAAAACTCCCTTGTTTTGTGCTTATTTGCTAAATTACCTTTTAAGCAGATGAGTGATAAGAAATTAATAGAAATGAAAGACACAAATACCTGTATGTTGAGAATGGATGCAGGTCTTCATCTGTGTAGGTCAAGACAGTCGGGTCAAAACTGAATGAGAAGCTGACATTATTTCTCTGTATCCTGTAAGACTTTAGAACCCCATTTGGCTCCAAAGGAGGAGTCCAGGATATCACCAGCTCACTGGGTCGGCCATGGACGTGTCTCACTCTTGGAGTGGTGAGGCCACGAGGAGGGGCTTGTCTTGTTGTTACAGTTACCCAGGAGCTGCAGGTGTGTCCGGCTGGGTTGTGAGTACAGATGCTAAACTCATATTGGGTCCAGGGACGCAAACCGGTCACGGTATAGGAGAGGGATTCGGCTCGCTGTGGGGATGATTCTGGGAAGAGCAACTGTGGGAGGCATGAAGGGTGATAGAGGTGGGTACTTAAGTCAAGAATTTAAGTTTAGTTACAAATAAACTAAATAAAACTATGTTTAAAGGGTGGAACTGTATCTGTAACGACTATATGAGTACAATCCAAGCCTTAATATATTCTTTCATGCAGTTTAAATTGATTGGAGTAATCCCTACAGTATTTCCCCTACCTTTCCCCCATCGGTATCTTCTTCATTAATTTGCGATGTCCCGCTCTCTTTCAGTCTCCTCCAAAGCAGAGAATATTCTCCAATTGGCCCATTGGGTTGTGAGGGAGGCTCCCAAGTAAAGGACACATGGTCAGAGCCAACAGAAAGAGGCTTAGGGGGCAGCTGCAATGCAGGTGGTGCAGCCGCTGTGGTGATGTGCTGAGGAGGGCTGTGCGTGCATCCTGCCGAGGTACAGGCTTCAAGAGTCAGAGAGTAAACAGTCCATGGCTCCAAACGACGAAACAGGAAACTCCGTGATAACCCACTGAACTCCAGGTTCCCCTCACTGTACAAATTATACATCTGGAGAAATGAATATCAGAAAGAAAATAGTCAAAGAGGCTGTGCAGATGGGACTTAAAGGAAACTAGAAAAATGAACTTCCTTTTTAACTGTTTGCCTGTTGCTATATTGTTAAACTGCTTGAAGATTATATAGAGATGTCAAAAATAACAGCTATAATGAACTATACAGTGGAACTAATACAGTATCACCTGCCTTAACCCCAAACTTAGAATGGCTATTTATTTATATTGCCTAAGACGCTGACAAATGGAAACAGTCATACACTATCACAAAGCCATGAGACTTTGCAATTGATGAGGGCCTAAAAACACTTCAACCCCTTTGAAGCATCTTAAATACAGACCTTTTATGGGTTAGGGTTAGGAACATTTTCTTAAATATAACGTTTAAAAAAAACTCTTTGAATAGCCCGGGTTATTCTCATATAGTATAAGACTTAATTACATGACTAAATCCAAGGTATATACTTCCATTAATAACACTTTTAGTAAGTATTATCTGTCAATTGTTTTTGCTATACGTTTTTGTCTTATTTCTTTTCAACGAAAATGTTGTCACACTGCTAATAGAAGTATATTTAATTACATACTGCAAAGAACTGTTTACTTTCAGATAAAGTTGTTCCACTATCTAAAGTGTGATACATCATGACAACCCAAGATTAGTACCGTGATGACTCCATTTGGAGAACGTGGCTCCTCCCAGCTGAGCAGCAAAGCTCTACCCTCCTCCTTCTGCTCTACTGTAATGTTTCCCAGACCTGCTGGGGAAGCCTCCAGGGTCATGACCTCCACCCATGGACTGGAAACAGAACCTGAAGTGGAACCAAACAATCAGACTCACTAAGGGTATATTCATAGCACATTTCAAATTTCAGTTTTTTCATTTTCCAAAGTACCTGCCCGATTCACAGCTTCCACACGGAGACTGTACTGACTGTATGGGTCAAGACCAAAGACTGATGCCTCCAACACTGAACCCTGAAAGATAGAAAACATGTTAAGAACCAGAATTCTCAAACTCATGGGCCAATTAGACAGCTTTGGTTAACTATGAAGCTATAAAGCACGGAAACTTAGAGTAGAATGATGTCAAAAATCACTGAACTAACTGAAGTGAAGACAGTAACAGACATAAACAGACGTTGGGAGCAATTTAGGCTCTACTTTAACCAAAACTTCAGTCTGAGAACGGCGACTTGCACTTTAGTTCCAAATGTGAAAACATGGGATTTTATTAACTGATATACTCAGTGAACAGAATACTTTTGGTACTATTAGTACACATCCTAATAAAAGTGTATTTCTCAGCCTACTATCCCTAAATGCTGTAGAAACATGTCCAGTAAGAGATAGTGTACAATAATGTGTGACCAAAAGCTTATGTTTACATTTTATCGCTGCTGCACTTTAGAAATAGTAATTTCTTGAGAGCTATACTGAACGAATTTTTGTTTTTACACACTCTGTGTGTACAAAATTACAAAGTTTGTCTAAGTCAAAGTTCTTTTTTGTCCCTGCAGTTTCTGCTGCTGTTTATGTGTAAGAAAGCAATATTGAATTTTAAGGTGAGGGTGTATAAGAAGGGTCTTTTTTTTCAGCTTTTATTGTCATTAAACTGTTACAATTACAGTGCAACAAAGTCAACTCTGTGCGTTTAACCCGTCTCCTTAGGGAGCAGTGGGCTGTCATTGTGCGGCGCCCGGGAAGCAGAGTGTAGTTAAGGATCTTTGCTCAGAGACTCAGTCTGTGGGACTGGGGCTTAAACTTAGAAACTCTAGATTCCAAGCACAATCCCCTAACCACTAGGCCGCCACTTTATATACATAATTTTTTCAGTTCATTTTTTAAACTTGGCATTTTGGAGTAAAATAAGACGAATAATTGAATAGCAACATTTAACCAATCATGCACTTCGAATGGATACTAACATTTTCTTTGGTTTATGAAGTTATAACACACAGCCAAACTGCTATCACCTCACCATTTTCAAATGTCTATGGTGATATCAAAAAAATTATTCTTTAAATAGCTCTTTTTGTTACAAATGGAATATATGAAAAGCTGGCCTTAAGACCAAAACGACTGAGCAAGCGTCAAAAGACAATACTGAAAAGCTGATGGTGAAGTGGGTCAAATGCCAACATGACAGCCAGCCAAAGGAAATTAGTTACACAATCAAATCCTGTCTGAATAAAACCAGAGCATCAACCATCAAAAGGGGAATAAAAGGAACAATGGAAACTAAGATGTCATAACATGGGATTTAAAATATCAATGTTTCAGCATCCAGGCTCTGACACGGTCAAGTGAGAAACCCATGCCAGACACAGAGACAGCGAGAAACGTAGCAGGAAATGTCTGTCCCTGGTGGGTGATTTCAAAGCCTCCAGATTAAGTATTTATGTCGCACATGCACCATTTCATATCATCTAAACAAACGCATACTAAACAAGGGTGTGTGCCAGTAGCTTTAGGCAGTGGGACCCGGCCCAACACCCTGGCAGATGCAGGAAAAGTGTGTATGTGTGCGTGATACAGTGAAAACACCATTTACTAATTGATAAGAGGCACACTGTTGTTTCAAAAGGCCCTGGCGTGCGATGACGAGGAAGTTTGGGAGCACGAGGCTCCTGGATGTAGTATTTATACCCGGTCTTTGTGTTGATTATAACTGGGAGCTCTGAAGCAGCTATGAGAGTGATATCTCCACATTTGTGTGAATGCATAACACAGGAGGGTATGCTTCTTTCAAGTGTTGAGTCCGCAGATCAAGTTTTGCTTGCACATAACTAAGCATATGTAAAGAGATTAACTGCTAACGCACTTCCATGCAACTGCAGCAGGATCAAAAAGGCTCACCATTTTCACAGAACCAAAGGAAATCCCCCCAAAATCACCGTGGCGTGGCACCAAGGCAGAACTGTCTGAACAACAACCAGAATGCATGTACTAACTATATTCATGTCTGGAAGCCAACACATTTTTCATTCACAGTAAAACAGGATTAATAACCCCCTAGACACAAGCTAAATCCTCCTGCAAATCACAGCACTTCTCACTAAAAGAGGGAGGAAAGACCACAATGACAATGTGCGGCGAGAGAGAGTGGGGGAAAGAGAAAAGACAAAGGGGTGGAGGCAGTTCAAAAAACATGGTAAAAATTTACATTTTAGTAAGGCAACACATGGAAGGGGTTTAGGAGAGACTGATATGAAAAAGTGAGATGTGGGTTAGTTAATAACTGATGAAGCAAATAAAAAAGGAAGTTAGACAGTGAAGGAGAATCTCAGCGAAGTAATGGAGGAGTGGAGGAGGCCAATGCTAGAGAGAAAAAGATAGATGTGGCAAAAGAGAAAGACAGATTAAGTGAGCCAGAATGAGAGATCTCTCTACCTTAAAAGCCAGTGAAATATGTGAGGCATGTGGCCTATAAAGCGGTTAACATATGCACATTGTCAATAGCAGCATCTGGCGCTGGCAGATTTTATAGGAGCGTGGAGACTCTGCTACATGCCTCTAGATGGCAATACATTCAAACACTTTATCACTGAAACACACCACATTAAAAGGCTGCTCGCTGCAACACACACACAACAATTAAGGTCTGACCGTGAAATTCACACACACACACACACACACACACACAAACAGGTGAGCAGAATGTTAATAAATGCTGCTGAAATACACAACTATCTAAAGGCATTAACAGCTACCACAATAACGATTACACTGAAACACACGCACACAAACATACGTTCATAGTAAGAACAAAAAAATGGTGAACATTTTAGGGATTTAGTGAATTTCTTGGTAAGATATACAAGCAAAAATATTAATGGAGATAAAACTTTTTTTTTAATATATATATATATTTGGTTAAACCCAAATTAAACACTGGAAAGGCAACCTTACATCTGTAAATTCTGATTTGATATACAAGATTTACATTATTAAGCTTCAAGTTTTTGTATTTTTTTGCCTGCATCACATTTTACAGTATTTGATGAGGATTTTGACATTACCTCAATATGAGCTATACATATTATTCCTCACCTTTACGTAACTCATCTAGATAAAACTGAGCATTAAACATCTTAGACAGATGTTGCAGTGAGAAAAAAAGAAACAAAATCAGTTTAACAAAAATTATGCATTATCCCAATGCAATATTGGGTAAGTTTTGACTGAATTGCGAGTCTCTTCACATGATACACACATACATTTAACAAAGTATTGATTATTGATGCACAGTGACAAGAGATTCATAAATTAGATTTGTTTCACAATCAGAGGGCTGTGGTTACTCTAATTCTTTTTTAATAGCGCTCTTCGCACATCTGTATAATGTGACGGGTGAAAAAGGAACCAAATTTATAAAAGGACTCCCACACACTGTCCATCTTGCATTAAAAGACATTTATATGCACTGTTTTGGGACTCGACCTTCTTTAGGCAAATTTAATGCCTACATGCCATAAGTTAGACAATGTGTGGGAGTCCTTTTGCACATTATGACACTTATATTTTTAGACATTTTTTCCTTCCACTTCCTCTGTGAACCCTTCTGGGTTACTCTCCTACTTATCCCCATAAGTGTGTAACCAATACAACCACAATGAACTAAGATAAAAAATCTTAACATTTATAACTTTGAGTTTGTGATTTACTACCATGCACCAGTACATACACAACATTTTTTCCCTAGCAAGATGATTCCAGATATATTTCATTGAGACTAGTAGAAATAAGACTTCTGATAATCTTCAGATGATCTGCTTTTATGAAAGTTAAATATATTAAGTAGTGTTTCTAATGTGATACTCACACAGTTGTAAAACTGCTGTAGCTGGAACCAGCTCAGTTTCTACCAATCAACGGTTTACCAATCACAATGGCACACAATTTTGTTTCCATGTTTTGACTACTTTGGCCACTAAAGCTGTAGAAAAAAGAAAACATAAAAGCTGTTATTTGTTCTATTAGGCCTTTTTTTTTTTTTTTAGAGAAAAAGACATGGTCAGCTTATGAAGATAACATTAGGAGCTGCAGAGTAAGATATGAAAGGAAAGGGTTCTTGTCAACTTAAATTCAGTGGGATTCACTGCATGCATATGTGCCCTGATGATCAAAGTCATCCGTTAATCATACAAAATGCAGCAGAGAGGAGCAAGGAGCGAAGAGAAAGAAGGTAACGATGAGTGTAAACAAGAAAGAGGAAGAGAAAAGAAGAGTGATTTGGACAGAGAAGATGAGACAGGAAGAGGTCTTGCTAATTTATACATTAAAGTCCTCAACACAATTTTGATCAGCGAGTACAATACAGAAAACTATTCAATCTTTTTTCCTCATTCTAAATTCACTGGACACTGTGCACTTCTGCACAAAAATCCTTAGCATACATAGCTTCTAGGAATATGATGTGTTGAAATAATAAAGCAACAATTTTGGCCCCATAAGTCTATGTATACTAACAAGTGAACATCTGCAAGTTTGTTTTCCTACTCTGACTACTGGATCCCTAAAGCTGTAATGTATGTGCACAACATTGCCTTTTATGTGTGTTCTGATGTTCAGGTAGAGAGGCAAAGTAAAGTCAAAAGGACAGTGTGTGATACTAATTAAGAATAACCATGTGTATTTGTCAAAAGAATTATGCTGATTATATCACAAAGACCCCAGAACTGAGTCCCGCAGAGAGATAGAGAAACAGAGCCAGACCAGCATTAGCATATGGCTACACACATGTATGCATGAAAAAAGAAACAGAGACACATATCCTCTTTGTCTCCCATTTATACACAGATCCAGCATGCAGATATGCAGGTAAGAAATATAAGGTCTCAAAAAGTTTTGGACAGAAAACACAAAATCCTCTTTTATTATTTGCTTAAATTTGATTCAAAAAATCTTATTTTCTATCAGTTTCAGGTTTTCTTTAGATAAAAAAAGCAGAAGATAAATGTTGTTCTTTGCCTTAA